TCCGGCGCACGGGCCCCTCGGAGGCGGGCTCCCATGCGCTCCGGCCATGGCGCGCCTGGGCGCTGTGCGCTCCCACTACTGCGCGCTGCTGCTGGCCGCGGCGCTCGCCGTCTGCGCTTTCTACTACCTCGGCTCCGGCCGGGAGACCTTCTCCAGCGCCACCAAGAGGCTGAAGGAAGCCCGCGCCGGGGTCCCCGCCGCGCCCTCGCCGCCGGTGCTGGAGCTGGCGCGGGGCTCCGTGGCGCCAGCCGCGGGCGCCAAGGCCAAGAGCCTGGAGGGCGGTGGGGCCGGGCCGGTGGACTACCACCTGCTGATGATGTTCACCAAGGCGGAGCACAATGCCGCGCTGCAGGCCAAGGCCCGCGTCGCGCTGCACTCGTTGCTGCGCCTCGCCAAGTTCGAGGCGCACGAGGTGCTTAACCTTCACTTTGTGAGCGAGGAGGCCAGCCGCGAGGTGGTCAAGGTCCTTCTGCGGGAGCTCCTGCCGCCCGCCGCCGGCTTCAAGTGCAAGGTGAGCTGGGGGTCCTGGTGGGTGGCCCACCCTGTTTCTAGTGCGTGCTCCCGGGAGCAAGGGGAAGGGTCTTTGCTGCACTGCCCACTTGACAATGCCGGTAGCGTTCACAGCACGCGGGAGGCCTCGTCCGGGGCGTGTCCGGCAGCCAGACGCACTCAGCTGGTGCAGGCGTGAACTGCGATGCTAACTGGCCACCTTTCTCGCCATTAAGAGCAGTCCCCCTGGAGAATCGGCTCACCCTCATTTTGCTAGTATGGCAGAGTTCAGTGCCTTCAGAGTCTGCACCTCTTTTTATGTTCCTCAGTCGTTGACTTCTGAGAATGGGTCTGGTCATTTGAAGGCAGCAGTAGTCATCTTGAGCAAAGTCTGCTGGACAGGGTCTTGATGAGGCCTCTGGAAATGTAGAAGTTTCTTATGGCTCTTAAGGTATTTCAGTCGGTTTCAGTCAGTTCCTTTGTGAACCAGCTTATCTCCTCTCTGTGCCCTGTTCTCCCCTGCCCTCAAGGGTCATGAACCCATTTAGAGAAGCTGCAGGTTCCTCCCAGCGATGAGGAGAAAGCTGTAAGAGGAACATATACGATCTGGGGAGAGCACAGCTAGCCCTTATGGCAGTCCTGGCCAACTCCCAACCTGCCGCTGTGGCACCTCATATTGCTCCCCATCATCTCACTTCACTGCCTGGCTCTGCTTGGCTGAGATTGGGTTTCTGGCATAGAAACAATCAAATTGCTTCTCTCACTGTGGCCCAGTAGTTGTACAGAGAGGATCCAAGTTCTGATTTTTGGATAAGGTTATGTTAAAGTAGGTGATCTTTAAGAATGTGACTTATGTTGGTTGGGAAAGGTGCTGAGGCAAGAATAGTGTTTGGCGAGTGACTAAGGGGAGCTGCTGTCAGGATTTTGCAGGGTTCATGGGTGTGCGGAGGCTCCTTGTTACCCAGAGTCAAGTCCCAATTTCCTAGTGGGGCTGTCTGTGTTGTGTGTCCTGCTCTCCTCTCTGGCTTTACCTCTGCTCCTTCCTCTGCATGCACCTTATACCTTAGCTGTACTGAATGCACTGTATTACAAGCTGTACTTCCTCCCCACGGTGTCATCTCAAGTCCTCAGCCACTCTTAACCTAGCTTTCACCTCCATCGAGAATGTCCCTAGACCTTGGGGACACTCTTTGCCCAACCCTCCACAGCTCTGTATCCCCTCTTCCTCCATAGCATTCTAGGCTGATGTTTTGCCTTTTGTGCCATATTTTTCCTTTAAGAAGTACTGTCTTGTAAGATAAGGTCCAGAGGGCAATTTACTCCCAGGGAGAATTCTGTCACCTTGGAAAGAAGAAGGCAACTCTTTGCCCACCCATGAACAAAGGAGCCTGTCAGGAACATAACTATGGTCAGGAAAGGGTGACTGGGCCTGGGCTTCCTGCGGTCGGAGGCCAAGAATCTGTGGCTGGAGAGTCCCTTGGGACCCGCTGTCCGACCTGGGGTTTTTTTGGCCTGGAGCCCATCCCCCTTTACCTAGTTGGACTCTGTAAAGGTGGGGCCTGGCAACTCTGATCGTTGACAAACCCTGCACTAGTCCCAGGGAGAAAGCTAAGAGCCCTTGGCCACAGGACCAGTCTAGGCAGATCTGGGATTTGACCACAAGCCTCCCTGAAGACCAGCATTGTCGTCTTTTCATTTTCTGAAGCAGTGGTAGCGACCTGGGCCTATTCTACCCAGATCTCTATCCTCCCCGTGTCCTGAGCTCTAGCTGCAGCTCTTGTTGTACACCTGGTGGTTTCTAGCCTGCTTGCCTTTGGTTATGTCCTTTCCACTGTTGGGGTACTTTCTCTCCATTTCCTGCCCCTGTTCAGATGCCATCTCCTCCTTAGAGCCATCCAAGGAACCCCCAGCTGAAAGGTACATCTTCCTCTTCCTCTTGCGGGAAGAGGAAAGAGGGCCCTGGTGCTGTGACCATATCATGGCTTATCACTCTCCATCCCTCTATACAATGCCTAGCACATAGCTGGCACCAGAAATATTGGCCTAGGGATGGATTCGACTTCAGAACCAGGTTTGTATCGTGGAGTATGTGTTTTGTGTTGACTCCCTCCTTTGTTGGGCCCAGTTCTGGCATTCCCACCCAAGGCAGCTGGAGGCAGCTGCAAATGACCTGCGGGAACTGATACTTCCCCTGCTGAGACAAGAGGAGTGAGGATCTGGGGCTTCTAGCCAGATAGCAGTGGTCAGATAAGGGTTTATCATTCCTGGCATAAAATTGCCCCCATGACTTTCGAGCTCATATTTTTTGAATTTGTTTTCTGTTTGTGATTAAAGGTGCTCTTTTTTCTTTAAATGTGTGATTCTAAAAGGTTTGCTTTATCTTATTTGTGATTTACTTCTTCCTCAGGTTTGAAATATTCCTGAAAACAATGCTTCTCCCAGCACCACAGCCCACTTGACACATGCCTTTCCCTCTGTCCGGAGTATCCCTCCCCTATCCTTAGTTGGTACTTGGTTTTCAGGTCTCAGCTTAAGTGCTGTTTCCTTGGCAAACCTTTACCAAGCCCCCATGACACACTCTTGAAACACCAAGTACTTTTCCTAATAACATTTATCACAGTTGTGTTTCTGTAAGTTTTGAATTAATTGTTCATCTACCTTGCTAGACTGCAAGCTCCTTAAGGGCATTGACACTGACATCTATTAGGTACTGCATCCTAAGCACCTAACATCATGTCTTATGGGAGTGAATTTTATACCAAGAGCTATTTTTTCAGTATTGGTAGGAAGAAGGAAGCTAGAGTTTTTCACCCAGATTGCATCAGAGCTAGAAGGGATGTCAAGAGTATATAGCATATGACTGGTGAGGAAACTTGCCCAAGGCCACCTGGGGAATTGCTCACCCAATTGAGACTAGACCTGCATGTGAGGCCAATGTTTTTTCCTTTGTACCATATTTCTTCTTAAGGAGTCCTTCTCTCTTGTAAGATAAGGTCTAGAGGGAAATTTACTCCTGGGAAGAATTGACTTGAGTTGTGTTAGAACACCTTGGGAAGAGGACTGCAGCTCTTTGCCCACCCACCTGTCCCACCTGTCTGGAGACAGCCTGGGGTTCCTCTTCCCTTAGAGGGGATCTTGGACTCCACCATGTTTGCAAGGTGCAGAGAGGGCCACAATGAACTGACATCGAACTTGTGCCAACACCCAGCGGTCTCTTCTCATACCATACCCAAGTGACATAGAAACACCTTTTAGCTGAAATGGTTATGGAAATAGATCATATAACATTATTAGTGACCTTAGATTATATTTTGGTTAATTAAATATTAGCTAAAAAGAATTCTCTTAATCAGAAAAATTCTGTTTTGACTCTTATTGAAAGTTTTAAAAAATATATTAGTTTGTTATTTCCTAACAGTGTGGAAGTATATTATTTGTTAACTTTTTAAATAAACATCCAAACCTGCCATGTTCCAGGCACTAGTATGGGAGCTGCTTCTAGCCTATATAGTAGGTCCGTTTTCTGTGTCACAATCACTTGGGAGTATTTGTTTAAAATATAGGGCTGGGCACGGTAGCTCACACCTATAATCCCAGCATGTTGGGAGCATCACTTGAAGCCAGGAGTTTGAATCCAGCCTGGGCAACACAGCAAGACCTTATCTCTACAAAAAGTAAAAAAAATTAGTTAGGGGGTGGTAGCACACACCTGTAGTCCCAGCTTCTCGGGAGGCTGAGGCAGGATGATCAGTTGAGCCCGGGAGGTTGAGGCTACAGTGAGCCATGATCACTCCCTTGCACTCCAGCGTGGGCAACAGAGTGAGGCTCTGTCTCAAAAACAAACAAAAAAACCCCACCAAAAACACACACACAAAATTATTTTTTTGAATCCTGGACCCTGCCCCAGTCTGTGGGTCAGAATCTCCCGGGTTCTTTATTTTACTTTATTTTTTAAAAAATTTTAGAGTTGTGGAGTACCAGTGGGGATTTACTACATAAATAAGTTGCATGCAATTGAAGTTGGGGCATCTAACTGCCCTCTTGCCCCTTGATAGTGAATGAGGTACCCAGTGTATTGTCATGTACCCTCTACTTCTGCCCTCTCTTACCTAGCAGTGTCTCGTGTCTGCTGATCCCACCCTTGTCCTAGCGTGACTAGTGTTCAGGGCCTGCTTGTAAGTGAGAACATGAGGTATTCAGTTCTTTGTTTTTGCGATAGTTCTGTTAGTATAATACTCTCTAGCTGCCTCCACCTTGCTGTGAAGGCCATGATGTTCTTTTTTATGACTGTATAATGTTCCATCGTGTATATGTGCCACATTTTCTTTATTCAGTCCACTTTTGATGGGCATCTGGGTTGTGGGGATGTGTATTTGTTTTTTTGGTTTTTTTGTTTTTTTGAGTCAGATTCTCACTCTGTCACCCAGACTGGAGTGCAGTGGCCACTCCTGGCCACTGTAGCCTCGACCTGCTGGGCTCGGGCGATTTTCAGCCTCAGCCTTCTGAGTAGCCGGAATTACAGGCATGCACTACCATGCCCAGCTGATTTTTTTGATTTATTGTAGAGATGAGGTCTCGCCAAGTTGCCCAGGCAGGTCTCGAACCCACAGGCTCAGGCAATCCACTCACCTCAGCCTCCCAAAGCGCGGGATTACAGGCTGAGCCACCGAGCCCGGCTGGGGATGTGTATTTGGATGGAGCTATGTAGGCAGGCTTGGGAGTCACTGCTGTAAGGGATACAGGAGTGCTTGGTGTCTCCTGCTGCTCTCTCACACTCTGCTCAGGTGTCTCCTCTGTGCAGCCTTTCCTGGGGAGCACAATGCCTGGTGCGTAGTAGGCATTCAGCAGCCATTTGACTGGACAACTCTCCTTCATCCCAGCTATATGATCTCTGCCAACCTGGGAAAGGCTGCTACATTGACCTGGCTAGCATGCTGCTTTATCACATCACTTCCACCTGTCATCGCAGATCATTCCAGCATCCTAGACCCTTAGCAGCTGGCTGAGGTTCCTGTGCTGTAG